AATTAATATAATTAATTAAAGTTTATTAAAATTAATTAATATCATTAATTATAATTAATTTGTAATTAATTATAATTAATTAATATTAATTAAATTTTAATAAATTATAATTAATCGAAATTAATTAATAATAATTAATTTTCTAAATTATAATTAATTAAGTTAATTTTATTATTTAAATTTAATTCTAATTAAAATAATTATAATTAATTAAATTAATTATAATAATTTAATTAGAACTAAATATAATTAATTATAATAATTATAATTAATTAAAAATAATAACAGTAATTAATCAAAATTAATTAAAATAATTATAATTAAAATTAATCTTATTAAAAACTAAATAATTCCTCTCTCCCTCTACCTCTCTGTTCGGCGGAGTTACGGGATTTGGCCGGAGGAGCGTGCCGCGGGGAGAAAGTTACCTTTACTGTCAGCGAGCTCTCGATCGTGGCTTTCGATCAGAATGCCCTAACTTCCGATCCAACTTCACTGCACTCGAGCTCCTGTAGTTGCTTCCGATCAAAAACTGTAACTTCCGATCCAACTGGAAGGTCGTCAAAGGAGCAGAGTCGGACAGCCAAGAGGGAGTCGACGGAGCGATCGGAAGGGAGGAGGCGGAGAAGCGACGCAAGGGAGAAAGTTATCTTCACTGCAAGCGAGCTCCCGTTTATGCTTCCGATCAAAATTCGGTAACTTCCGATCCAACAGGGAAAGGAAAGTCGTCGAAGGAGCAGTCGAACTTCCTCGAAGGAGCCGAAGAAGCGACGCCAAAGGGAGAAAGTTCCTTCAGAGCAAGCGAGCACCTGTTCTTACTTCCGATCAAAATGACGTAACTTCCGACCCGTTAGGAAGGGAATGTCGTCAGAAGAGCAAAGTCGAACAGCGTCGAGAGAGAGCGGGAGAAGCGGCAAAGGCAGAAAGTTATCTTCACAGCGAGTGAGCACCGGTTCTCGCCTCCAATCAAAATGCTGTTACTTCCGATCTGCAGGAAGGGAAAGTCGCTGGAGAAGCGAAGTCGAACAGCGTCGAGAGAGAGCGATTGCGAGAGTCCAAGTGGGAGAGATCGTGCGAGAGCGTGAAGGAAGAGAGTAGAAGTCGAATCAGAGAGCGGGCAATCTCGTTTCTTCGACACTTAATGCGATAGAGAGGTGAACGTGGAAGAAATGACGCGGACATGTCGGCGACGTGCTGAATTCGGCGCCGGACAGGTACGTGGATTTTAATTTTTTTTTGTTTTCTCTTTTTTTTTATACAGCAGGTCAACATGTGTTTGCTTGGTGGTCTCATTCAACCTAAATATTTGGTGTGATTTGAGTTTTGTGTTATTTTCTTGTACTTCTCTAAGAATTTTGACTCATTTAACATCCTCCACATTCCCAAATTCATCAACACTCTCATCTACTTCATCTCCATAATCTAATCCTCACAACTCCACTTCTCAATTTTGGAGCCGTTCCAAATCTTGCTTTACCAACTACTCTCTATAGACCCGATCACCCCTCATCTCCTTCCACCAAACTCTAGATCACAACTTTACATCACCATCATCACATAGACATTCCATCCAAAGGCCACTCCACCCCCTCACCCTCTACACAAACTCACAAACCATAGGAAAACTCTCATATCTTCACTCTTCCATTCACCCTAAAATTCATAAAAGCACCCATCTTCCAACCTCCACACCCAAGGCCAATCCTCAATAACCATTTTTTCGCTCACATTCTCACCTCTTTGAATGCAGGCATATTATCCGGTCTATTAAGAATCTCTGGATTTAAACCTTATTAGATATGTTTAAAATAGGAAAGTTATTATGTTTATACAGTTGAAAATACTATCCCTATTTTGGTGTAGAATGGTTTCTTTGTTTTCTTCCTTTATTAGTCAGTATATTGTCTCAAGTCAAATGATTTAAACATAAAGCATATTCTTAGTGGCCTGGTAATCAGATCAAGCGTTCAAAAAGGGGCATGTCACAAATTCAGTCTAAAAACCACTTGTCCGGTCTAATGAGAGAGTAGCCAATCCATCAAAAAAATGGACTGAAAAACTAACGCGGTTTGACTCGAACTTGAAGATGCTTGACACAAACTTACTAACTGAATGATTATCGACAACAAAATTCAATAAAAAATGCTACTTTAAGAATTTTTCTAGATGTGCTAGTAACCATTCTTTTACAAACATTACCTTGGAGAACAAGTGATATGATGGGCGAGGAATACGTGCAAGATCATTGGCACGATCAACTGCAAGAAGCCCAAATTTGGGACCGTATCCATCAGCCCACTCCCAATTATCTGATGTTGTCCAGAACAAGTAACCAAGAACTGGTACGCCCTAAAAATCAAAATGAATCCCACAGCATTAGTGTATGCAACAAGCTACAAGTCAAAATACAAGGTGAAGTGTAAAAACCGTTATCATGGCAGCATAAACAGCTAATAAATGTTCCAGCAGGTATGGGCGTCGAATCAAGTCAGTTTTGTCAGAAATTCCATTCTCAGTAATGATAAAAGGCACATTCATGTGCTTGTATCTATCATGGAACATATGTAAGACTCTAAACAAACCATCAGGATAAACAGCACGGCCAGATTCACTATATTCTTCATTGTCCACCAGCTTCAAGCCAGGTCCAGTAATAACTTCCTGATCATAAAAAACCAGTCCAACTTAACCGTTATTGAAATCTTTTAAGTACAATGAGTTTTACGGAAGAGCTAACCTGCCCATAATAGTTTATTCCTAGAAAATCTAGCTTATCACATATGGTGTCTACATAGGGGAAAAGCGTTAATGAATTAGCCAGCGTAACAGCAGCAACATCAAAAAGGCCATATGGACGAGTAAAGGAGACGTGATGTGCAATCCCCACCATCGTTTTTCCACCATTCTTGCTGTTAGGACCAAAAAAAAGTACATTAGCCATATTGAGTGATAAATTTACCATAATCAGGAATTAATAAATATATTGGAGACAAGGGAATGGTGATATTTTCATAACCTACAAGGCATTTAGACGTGGTAATTTTAGATTGGTATAAGATAGAAACAAAGACTAAGGAACTGACCTCTCTTTAAGGATATAATCATAGGCCAATGAATGTGCAACAGCCATACAGTGCAAGGCTTGACTAAATACCCCAGATGGTAAAGTGGAGGTCGCTACCTCAATCATATCAGGATTTCCTCCCGGCCAAGCACCCGCACAGTACGTTAACATACAGAATACATGAGGCTCATTAAACGTTACCCAGTAGTCTACCAGATCTGATACACGACCAACTATTAGCCTGCATTCAGAGCATTAAAATAACTACAGTGAATACTAGGATGAAATTAATACTTATGAACACCTTAGATCATAATTTACAAGGATTCTAGTTTCTCATAATCCCTTTTTTTATAGAAATATAATATTATAACAAGTTAATAAAATGAGTACCCAAGCGGCAATTATAAAAAATTGCCAGAATAAATATAAAAACAAAAAAGATAATTAAGAATAAAGACAATTATGTCAAAAGTAAGAAATATTCATCTAATAGATGTGAAGATCCATGGTAAGCTCTCATTTGTGGCTTTGAATATTGTAGAGTGACCCTAAATTGTTTTTCTTATTTATGCCTCCGAATAATAAGATTTGAAACCTCCTATTCACTTGGGATTCATTACTTAGTAGAATATCATTTGAATCAAAAAGCTACTAAGACTCAGTGGCATCAACATACTCTCAATAGTAATGGGATCAAGGGCTATCTTCTCTAGAGGATCTATGACAAAGATTTTAGATGCAAAAGAAATCATGTTTTTTTTTTAGAACTTGTTTCAGTTATGAGAGTTACTAAAGTCTTTAATCCCACAATACCATCAAGAGTTTGTTCCAAATTAGATGTACATGCAAAACCTCCAAATTCAGTGTCCAATCAACCAGTTCTGACCCGATTTAAAAAAGGTAATTGCTTGAATCTTTGTATTTTGAACTCTTTTATATATGCTTGGGAATGATATATGTATATGAAAAAGGTTTGCATGTGTTCTAGAGTAAGGTTCAAGGGTTTGAATGCACATTGGTGAAATATATAATTTTTCCATGGAGCGCCAGGCACTATTTTCTAGTGTCATGGCACTGCAATCTCGAGAATTTGGGGAAATGAAACTAGCGCTGCAATGTCATATGTTCTGGCACCACGGAGCTGGGTCATTTTCTGCACTTAAATATATTAAATTACACTGTTCCATTATATTTGCTTATTTTGGCAATTAAAGAAAACGGGGGATTTTGGGGAGGAAAGAAAGGGATTTGGGATGCTTCAGATCTTTTTTAACAGTTAGACCAGTTCTAAAACTTATCCGGATCAAGGTAGGTCATACTATGACTATTAGTAAAAATGGGTATTCGGGTCAGATTCCGGTCGAACCCATAATTGACTCAGGTCTAATTCAGTTGACCCGAATCCAACACAGTTTTGTAAACGGGTCAAAAATTCAGACCCGGACCCGACCCACCATATTATTGGGTTGACCCAACCCAACCTGCTAACCCAGAATATAGCAGGTGAGGAAGCAAGCATGGGTGCGGGTGCCGTACTTAGCAGGGTCTGGGTGCACGCACAGGAGTTGACGGGGACACAGGCATTGTGCAGGCATAGGTCCAGGTGCGAACACGAGCGCGTGTTGATTTTGAGTTTCCGGGTCAACTTGAACCCAACCAGATTTTAGAAATAGGTTAGAAAACGAATCTCTAACCCATAATTTTTCGGTTCGGGTTCAGGTCGGGTCAAGTATTGACACCCTTAATGCTTATCTTAGTTTTCAAAAATATGAATTTTTTTAAATTTTCTGATTAAATTTATATTTCCGTTACCGAAAAATGAGAATAACTTTCCACCGGAAAAACTTTTACTGCTTAATTTTTTATATGTTATAGAGAGTGAGATTCTGAATATTTTGAATATGTTCTAAGAATTTTACACCGAGGGTTCTGAAATATATGTGATTTTTATTGAATAAAAAATAATCTAGACTCTGAAAAATAATATTGTAGGACAATTAAAGTCTTAAAACAATGCTTTGCAAGATCTCTAATAATTTGGTTATTTTCTGAAAAATTGTATTTTTGCTTAGTAGAGTTTATTGTTGCCTACCATTAGGATATTTTGGCAAACTCTGAAATGAGTTTATTTACGCATTAATCACTGCAATGCATTGATATATGTGCCTAATTGATTAAAATGGATTATGTGGAGATTTGAAAGGGGTGGAAGAAGTTTTATTTTGGTAATATATGTACATTCTGCTTCAGAGTTAATGAACTTTGTTTGTTACTTAGAGATGTTGAACTTTGTCTGATACTCAAAGTTGTTGAACTCTATTTGTTACTCAGAGATACTAAAATCTATCTATTACTCGGAGTTGTTAAACTTTGTCTGTTGGGAACGATATATGACATGCTTGTGTATTTTGCCTAAAGTTCTGATAACTGCATTTATTTTTTTCTCAGTTCCGATTTTAATATTCAGCGTATGTTTAATAAAAGAAATATTTAAAAATTTAGATCGATATTTATAGTCTGTTGAGTTGTTTTAGCTTACTGTTATTTAGCATTCTGTTTTCAGGGTCTAAGAAAGGGAATGATCCCATTGAGTAGTAGTTTCATGAATTTGATCTAAGTCTATAAATATTTTTTTATATCAGCACAGTCATTGCTAGTTTTATTACTTTGTTGTATAGCTTTTGTTTATAGTTATGCTCTGTGATTGTATATATCATTTTGATAACAAAGGAAAAACAAATCTTCTGGATGAGTTTATTTTCAGTCCTTTGGATGTTTTAGTAGCTCTGTAATTTGTTTTTTGTTTTAAGATACATATTAAAAAAAATCTGAAAATTTTCTCAAATTAGATATTGGGATTCGCCTGTTACCGCTAAATACAATAAGAACTCACATCAATGCGTCTTATCGAGTTGGATTGTAACAGTACATGCCTAAACTAAGAAATTAGGAACTGTTTCCGCCACATGTGAAGAGAAATTTTGATTATTTACATCCTCCCTCTTTTTCTTGATTGCAAGGATCAATGAAAGATGATTTTCTCAATTCTATATGAGTTTGAAGAAATCAAAGAGTTGTGCCTATAAAATTTTTAAAAAATGCAATATGAAGAAACACTTCCAAATACAACATTCTACTAATAACCGCTGAAATAGGAGCAAATCCAATTCCCTGTCTAAAGGCCTAATAATGCCCATTTAAACTAAAACCCTACCTAGATATGGCCCAGAGAGTTGAGAGGTATAAGCATCTACTTACAAGGGTTTGTCAAAAATAAAGCCAAAGAATATAACATAGACAAGTTAAAATAATGAATCCAAAGTACAATAAAAGTAACCCAAATCAGAGCTATAAGAGGTTTTATGAGACAAAATAAGGAGACCACTTTAACATTCAAATATCAACGGGAAAATTTTCTAATATCGTTTCTTCCTATTTTGAATTTTAAGCCTTTTTCTTACATTTTAAAATCTATTTTTACTGGATTTATAATAATCCAAGATAAATTTGCAAATTTGAAAATGTCTGCAGTATAAAAATATAATTAAAAAAAACAAACATCATGTACTTTATGATTTTCAAAACTTTGTAAAGGGTGATATTGTCAAGCCAAATGAGGACGCATGTTAGTTGCTTATTGTACCATGCAATAGGTAGTTAAAGTGGCACCCTCCATGAATACTAAACTTTGATAATGTCACTTGTCATGTTGCATGCCGCATGAGCCTATTATTTTTTATATAAAACTTTAATATCATGAAATGAGGCACTAACGTAGTAGCCTTGTGGCATGGCATGCAATTAGGAGTCCACATAAATTTATCAAATGGGTTAAAATGGATTGATAGTAGGTTTGTCGACTTGTAGACTTATTAAGTCCACAACGCCCACCTTTTACACATATTACACACATATTTATCTAGGTAATTAGGACCTTCAGCCTTTATTACTCTATTCAAATGAGTCATGGGTCCTCTCATCTTGGTTGATAGAATTTACAAGAGGTAAAGTAGGCCCTGAAGGATCATCCCCTACCTCTAACAAAACCAAATGCAAGTCAAGTGCAAGCCGAATAATTTGAGACAATTCTTTTGACTACAATGGTTGTTCTCAACAACGATGAGACCAACCAACTAATATGCTTCATCGAAAGTTGATGTTCGATGAGCACTTCGAAACTCCAATAGGTAAGAGCAATTGAGTTTGGAGAAGACGGAGTATAATAGGGGAACCAGGAGAGTAAGAGGTGAACTTGCCACTCCCCAATGAAAGTTTGGGATAAACCTTCTTATCATTATGCATGGCATAAAAGATTATCGTTTATGGTATTTTGTAATTATGTAAATCACAGAAACATTATACCCCTTAAGTTTGAAATAAAAAATTTTACCAATCCAAGTAGTTGTACCCAACAAATTTTGCAAAAAAATGCAATATGAAGAAATTCTTTCAAATGCAACCTTCTACTAATAGCCCCTAAAATAGGAGCAAATCCAAATTACCCTGTCTGAAGGCCTAATAATGCCCATTCAACTAAAACCCTAGCCACACATTGTAATTGCCAATATGTTGATCCAGACAATTAATATAATTTGTAAATTATCTTCACCATAATATAAATACTATTATGCTTTAATTATAATAATTTTCTACTGATTTTAGTGGGCAATGTAGATATGAAAACATTTGTTTTTTATTTAAATATAATTCCTTAAGAAATTAACACATATCGGTACAAGTGAGTTTTCTGGAATAGTTAGGTGTCCGTTTTGTAAACCGATTTCACCAAGGCCTTCTAGATATGTTGGGTTATTTTATAAATACTTTTCTATAATATTTAAAACTCCGAATTTGGAAATATAAAAAAATTTATAAGAATTTTATACGTAATTACCAATATATAAAAATAAGCAATTTGCATAATTACCAATATACCCTTCAAATAGTTTATTATAAAAAAATCTTTATCCACTCACCAAATTTTATATGTCATTTCCCTTTCAGTTTCCTAAGCAGATATGTGAAAAAGATGAAAAAGAGGGGGTAAGGAGAGAGAAACCTAGGGTTTGGGAGTCGTAGAGTCATTTTTGTCAGTTGACCAGTTGAGAATTTTGCTCATCTTGAGGTATTGTACGACCTCTAATTTTGATGATTTTGCTTATTTGGTGTTTTCTTAATTTTAATTTGATTAAAATTTACAAAAATTGCAATATCTTAATTTTTAGCAAACTTCCGCTATGTAATTTTTAGTAAGTTATAATTTTAATCATTATGCACATGATGACGTAAATATATTAAACTTTTATCAAATACTTTTGTATTTTTAAGGAAATGTCCTAATTTGAGATATTTAAATAAATATAAAAGTTGGATACATATGTGAGACCTCCAGGATCAGAATATTATTCAAACTGGTCTAAGCCAACTAAAAGTCAAGTAGTCAAGTAACTTGTTGAATTTCTACATTTAAACACTCTTGCATGTGTCTGAGAATGATCTGTGTAGAAAAAAATTTGCATGTGTTCTAAATTGGGTAATTAGGGTCTGAATGCAACTTTGTGAAATATGAAATTTTCCCTCTAGAACATCGTGGCATTGGAATAGTGGCACCCTGACGCTGTGATCTCTGAAATTTAGAAAATGAATTAGCAACCCAGGCACTGGAATAGTGGCGCCCCGGTGCTAGGCCAAAATTTCATATTAAAAATATTTTTTTCACTATTCATTCTATTTCTACTCACGCAAGCTACCGGCCTAGAGCGGGATTTTAGATAGAGAGGAGGATTTGGGCAGCTTCAGATCTTTTTTAATTGTTGGCCCAATACGAAAAGTTGCTCAGGTCAAGGTAGGTTAATTTGGAGTTTTTTATCAAATTTATAATTTAATTTTGCAAAAATGTGATTTATCATATTCTAGTAACTTTTATCACGTAACTTTTGATATGTTGTTGGTATGACTGTTCTGGTGATTTTGCTTATTTATTCAAGATTTTCTACCAGGTATTTTTAAAATACGGTGTTTTTTATCAATTCAAGAAAACCATTTTGATATCTAAATATAGTGTTTTAATTCAATTAAAGCTTCAGAACATTGTTATACATATTCCTTGGTAATGTGGTTGAATTATTTTGATAAACTATAGAATATTGGGTGGGAAATTATATGACAGTTCGTTAGAGCATTTCTTCAGAATTATACAGCAATATTGTGATTGCTTCGATAGTGTATAATGCACTTTATTTTAAGTATCTATGATTGAAATATTTGAATTGGCGGCAAGAAAAAGATTATGTTGGCGACAAGAAGTGATCCTTCTATCTCTTATGTGTTTCAAATTCTGGAGCCTCAGGGTTATATTTATTAAGAAAAGATTATACAGGCGACAATAAGGAATTCTATTATATATTATGTGTTGTAAATTATGGAGCCTAAGGGTTATATTTATTGAGAAGGAATTCTATTGGAGCCAAGAAGATATTCTGTTAATTATTATATATGGAAAATTAGGACTTGAAAGCCACTCTGATAATTACTATGAAATATTTATTTAAATTTCAGTAAATCTTAGTACTTTTTCAGTAATTATTTAAAATCA